CCCTCCCCCCCCCCCCCCCCAGTGCTGGGATTAAAGGCATGTGCTACCAACGCCCAGCCTTTTATGTGATTTTTTAAAAGAATTTTATTTCACTTTTATTTATGTGTTTGTGTGTGCATTTGTGAATATATACCACCTGTGTGCAAGCATGTGTGCACAAGCATATGTCATAGTACATGCTTGTAGGTCAGAGGACAGTTTGTGGAAATCATTTATCTCCTTTGATCCCAGGGATGAAACTCAGGTTGTTAGGCTAGGAAGCAAGTGTCTTTACCATTAAATCTAGTTAGAGCTGCCTGCACACTTGTTGGCATGAGGCCATCGCCAGGAAATCAACAACTGCCATTGGTTGTACCACCAAAGATGACTTTCCCTCTCCAAAGCAGTAATCAGTTGCCAATAGCTCCTCAGCTAGGAGTTGGAGCCTCTCTCCATTCATAATGGGATGTTGACTTGACTTAACCTTGTGTAAGTGAACCATAGCTGTTGTGAATGCATGAGTGCAATGGCCATGTTGTGTCCAGAACACAGCATTTCATAGTCCTCACCCCCTCCTCCAGCTCTTATATTCTTTCTATGTTCCCTGGTCCTTGAGGGGGTTGATACAAATGTCTTATTTAGGGCTAAGCACTTAACAGTCACTTATTTTCATCACTTTGATCAGTTATAATTGTATATTGGCTGCTGCTGCTCACTGCACAAAGAATCTTCTCTAGCCAAGTTTGAGAGCAGCCCTAATGTGTGGGTATAAAATACAGAATTAAAAGGTGATTTGACATCATGCCCAGTTAGCAAAACAGCAGTAGTAGGTTGCCCTCTAATGCCTGTGACCTCCCCAGCCATGGGCTTTTAGTTAGGTTCACAGTACCAAGCATGAATTTCCTCCTATAGAGAGCAAGCCAAATCCAGTGGAACAGCAGTTTGTTACACCCCACTACTAGCTGTGCTGTTACTGTACCAGTAGGCATAGCTTGCCTGGCAGGATGCAGCTTACAGAATCCAGTGCTGGGTATTCCATTGATGACTTTTCCCCTCCTCTGTGAAAATTAGCCGTGTTTTCAGGTCAGTTCCAGTTTGATTTCCTCTGTGTTTTCCAATCAAAGTGTGTAGTGTCTTCAGCAACCATCGACTTATGCTGAACAACTAAGAACAGTAGCCTGGTTGTTTTGGTGGCTGGGCACCTCTGGGGCCTCCCTGACCAATGACTCGTACACAGGTGTCCCATGCGTGGGACTGAGATTTTTATGTAGTAACCCAGGTGTTCTGGGGGAAAGAACTGTTCATCCCTGCAATATACCTCTACTCAAATTCCTTTTTTAAAAATTACATATTTAATTTAAATTAGCTTATAGAGCAGTGTGTTTTCATAAGCCTTTTTTGTAGAGCCTAGTTTCAGTTAATCACCCCACCCTTTACCTCCCACCATCCCCAGCCCCTGTCCCTGCTTAACCCTTTAACCCTCCATGTACATGTGTTCCAACCACTCCCCTGCCGTGTGGCCTCTTCTCTTCCTCATGTGTCCCTTCTAGTTTCCTGACCTCTCTAAACATTCCAAATTGAATACACAAATCTAAAAATTTGAAGCTAGAATGCACACAAGATTTTACTTTTTTTTTTTTTTTTTTTTTTTTTTTTTGGGCAATTTTTTTTTTTTTTTTTTTTTTTTTTTTTTTTTTTGAGCTAATGTCTTGCTCTTTTCTCCATATTGGCCTCAAATTTGGCAACATGGTCTTTTGCTTCAGTCTCCGTGGTTGGTCTTTTGCTTCAGTCTTTGTGGTAGCTGGGGCTTTAATTTTATACCTTTGTGCCTGTCTAAAGGTCTGTGGGTGAATAATGTGGCCCTTGAGGGAGATTATGAAAACTTGGTTCATTTGGATTTCATTATAGAGGCTGTTGGCTGGCCACTCCGGTTCTCTGCTCTTTCTTTTTGGCAAATTTGAGAATATGCCATGTGCTGGTCTCTGTTCTGGGCCTGAGTTACAGCCTTTTGTAAACATGAGAACAGGCCTCCCCCATAGAACACATCATTTTATCCATCTACTCATTTAGATGTTGAGATAGAAAACATTTTGGTTTTTTTTGTTTTGTTTTGTTTTTCCCCCTTGGTTTTCCGAGGCAGGGTTTCTCTGTGGCTTTGGAGGCTGTCCTGGAACTAGCTCTTATAGACCAGGCTGGTCTTGAACTCACAGAGAGCCGCCTGCCTGTGCTTCTCGAGTGCTGGGACTAAAGGCGTGCACCACTACCACCTGGCTAGAAAACATTTTTTTTAATAGAACTTTTCCTAGAATATCAGGTAAGTGCCAAGACTGCCAGCAAACATATTGACCACTGTAATCTTACCTGAATGTCATAGTTAAAAATCATGCTTGCTGCTTCTAGTTTTTCTTTATATTTTCTTCAGTGTGTGTGTGTGTGTGTGTGTGTGTGTGTGTGTGTGTGTGTGTACATAGGAGTTCACGTACACTAGGATGAGTGGGGGACAGAAAACAGCCTCAGGTGCTATTCCTCAAGTGCTGCCCATCTTAGTTTTTTTGAGACAGAATTCTCTCATTGTCCTGGGCCTCACCAGGTAGGCGAGGCTGGCTGGCCAGTGAGCACCAAGGGATCTGTATGTCTGTCTCTACCTCCTTTGGGACTGTAGACATTCCCATCATGCCCAGCTTTAATAAATAAATATACATACATATATATGTATTGAAATTTATGTATGTTTTGTTTTGTTTTTGAGGGAAGATCTCTATGTAGACCAGGCTAGCCTTGAACTTAACAGAAACCCACCTGCCTTTCCTTCCCAAAATGTTTGTTTTTGTTACATGTGTAAATCTGTTTTGCTTCTCTGTGCACCACTTGAGTGCTGGTGCCCACAGACCAGAAGACGGTGTCAGATCCGTGAACTGGAGTTAGAGATAATTGTGGGAGACCCTGCTAATGCTGGAAAGTGAATAAGGGACCTTTGGGAGAACAGCTAGCGCTCTTAACTGCTGATCCATCTCTCTCCAGCCCCACTCAGACTTTAAAAATGTGGGTTCTGGGGGATTGAACTGTGGCCCTCAAGCTGCAGGGCAGGCACTTACTGACCTGTCAGCCCAGTCTTTTCAGATGTTTTGTTAATCCCCACAACTACAAAGGTTTTGCCTTAGATGGTGTTTGGAGTATCATCTGGTTTATGACTTTATTAAAAATGAGAGGAGGATCCACTTCTGCGTGGCTTGGATCAGGTGTGGGCTTTGAGAGCCAGCCTGTGGAACATCTGGGAGTTTACAAAATGAAAAGGAAAGATGCAGATAAAATAGTAACAGGTGGTAGGATAGCAAGTAAGGAAAGGTTGGAAAGACTTTCTTATTCTTATTTGGGTTAAGTGGATGGGATGAATGTAATTGGTAAAGATTCTTTGTAGTGGTAATGAGAAAGGCACACTTGAAAGAACTTAGTATGCTGTCTTAAGAGCTTACAAGCAAACTAAAATTAGGAATATTTTTATTTGGAGATGAAAACTTCTTTATATTACCTTTTTCTTGTTAGTACCCAGTTCTAAAGACTTCACTGACAAATCTTTACTATAGAAACTAAATATGATTTTTAAAATACCCTTCAATTTTTCTTTTCCTAGTGACTTGGATGGACAGTAAAAGTTGAAAAAAACACCCCTCTGTGGTGTCCTGGGCTTAGTATAAAGCTGCATGCTGAGTGTTCTAGGATTCCCTCTGAAAGTCAGGTGCCTAACTGTGTTCCTGGGGTAATTTTATTGTTGAAGCATAGGTCTGTCAGTTTGCCTAGGGCAGTTTTGTTGTGTGCAGAAGAAATCAATAGATTCCTTCTTACTTTTTTCCATGAAGTACTACATGAAAAATATCAATGGACACTGACATATTTTGTGGTGTTTTCTGTTTGTAGAAAGAAAAGACAGTTCAGGTTCTGTGTCACCAAGCGCTCCTAGCCAGGAGGAGAGTGAACAGATTTGCTTGTACCACATTCGGAAAAGTTGTAGCTTTCAAGGTAAGTCTCTTCTTCCCTCTCGTGGGAGGGAGACCGCTCTTCATTTCTGGAGCCGCTTTGAGGCACCTCTAGAGACAGGGAGGGGTCTTGTCAAACTAGTTCCAGATCTGCTTTGTTGACAATGGAAGGGATTGTTAGAATTTTTGAAAATGAAGCTGTAGATGAGTTTTTGGGAATATAGCAGTCTGGGTCTGTACCAGGTGAGTGTAGGTGACCACAGGACTTCATGAAATGGGGCTACTCAATCCAGTGGAAGCTAATTGCCACTTCTCAAGGGTGACAGTCGACCTGGGGAGTCTCAGACACTGGGAAGAGCTCTCTGAGGGGGAGGAATCACTTGGTAGCACTGAGGATTGCTCAGGGCATCTTCATTATTAGGCCAGTGGTTCCTGCTTGGGACCTTTATCTGCCCTTTCCACAACTGTCGTCCTTGGGTGGGCCAGTGTTTTCATAAAAACAGTTGGTTATATTTTCACTTTGTGAAGAAGTTAGATGATACAGAGCAGAGCACCAAGTCCTCCGTCTCCTTCATCCTTTCCCCATGGTGAACATTTGCTGTATGTTGTGCCACTTGTTTTACATATTTTATTTATTTTGAAGTAAATTTCATTTTATGTGTATGGGTGGCTTGCTTGCATGTATGTTTGTGCACCTTGTTTGTGTCTGGTGCCCAAGGAGGCCAGAAGAGGGTGTCTGATTCCTGGAAACTGAAGTTATAGAAGGTTTTGAGACAACATATCAGTGCTGGGAATCGAACCTGGGTCCTCTGAAAGAGCATCCAGTATTCTTCCACTGAACCGTCTGTCTAGCCCCTTCAATTTTGTTTTTGAAAGATTGATTTATTTTTATTTTTTCTCTTTTTCTTTAAATTTTACTCTGCTTGGCTTTGTAGTTGAGAGGTTCTGCAGTGGTCCTTTTTTATTTGTAGTACTGTGCATTGCTTCCTAGTGCTTCTTAAATTTATTCTTCTCTCTACCCTTCGTATGGAGGGTTTAATCCAGGAAAGGAGGGGAGGTGAATGTGGGTGTATGGTCGTTCAAATTAATACCATTTATTTAACTTGCCTGGGAAGCCTAGAGCCTGGATTGCCTTGAGTTGGGAAACGTTAGATAGAAGCAAGGAAGTTGATAAAGAGGAGGAGGATCAGGAGAGATGACCACGGAAGGGTTGCTTTCTGCTCCTGCTGCTGTGCCAAAATTCTCACCGGCTGCTGTGGTTTAGATGGCCTCCAGCTATGGGAAGCTGATAAATACATGCAGTTCCAAGCCTGCTGTTAACCACAGGCCTGGATCCCTGGCTCCTTTCTGAGGCCTCAGTCTGGTGGGCATTTCGGAGATACTGTTCCTAGGAGTGTTTTCTTCCAGGGAGTTTTCCCTCAGGCTACCCAAGATTTGCCTGTACTTGGAGTTTGTCAACATAACATTTCAACACTTGGGTGCTTTTTGCTTACTTCAAATCATGTCCTTTAGTGCCCTTCAAGGAGGGAATAGGAATTCTGATTTAACCTCTGGACCATGACTATAGCCCTGACCCAGTGATTCATTATCGGTTAGGCTCACTCCTTGTGAAGAATCCAGTCTCTGAGCCTAGTATTAGTCATATAAGCACAAACTGTACAAATCAGGGAGTTGCAAGTCCCTGAGATGGCTGTGTCCTGCCTTGTTGGATTTAAGAGCGTTCCTTGCCCGGACACCCCCAGCTTATTTTCTGAGGCCTCTTGACCTTTTGCTGTGTCTGCACAGTGCCTGTGCAATGTCAGATGCTCCTCTGTGGTCCTCCCTAACATAGCACTTGCTGTAGAACTGAGAAAGAAGGTGCAGATTTTAGGAAATTTTAATTTTTCAAGTGTTAAAGTAGCTTAAATTCATTATTTTAAACTACAAATTAAAATGGATTAACTATAGTTAATAAATGAATCTTCATCACCTTCTTTTCCTTAACAGCCAGGTAGGTCCTCTAAAAACAAAAACAATGATTTCCTGGTCCTTTGGTGTCTAGAAAGATATTACACGTGTACTGGTGTGTGTATATCTATATTAAGTGTATATGTGTATATATATGTATATATGTACATTCACTTTTGTCTCTACACACAGGGACAGGGAGTGGCTTGACTGCCACCTGCAGGGCTGGGACCAATGACCTCCTTCTGATCACCTTTACAGTCATGAAATGACATTCTAGACTAACACATTAAATGGGACACTATGATTTTTTTTTAAAGGGAAGACACACATAGTAAGACCCATAGTATTTCAGTATGTAAATGCCTCGGTGTGACTGCACTAACAACACAACTTCCTCGTAACTTGGCAGAAATGTTGTCAGGTCAGAGATCAGGAGCACACTCCCATTGACACTGTGAGGTGGGGACACGATGTTTATTAGCAGGGTGTCTTACTGCTCTATGCTTCTGTTTTAGATAAGTGCTATCGAGTTCATTTCCATTTGCCATATCGGTGGCAGTTCTTGGATGGAGGCAAATGGAAGGATTTGGGCAACATGGAGCTTATTGAAGAGGCATATAGCAATCCCAGTAAAGAGAGGTAGGAGAATGAAAATGGGCTCCTCATCCAGGCTGTGCATCTAGCCTTTTGTGTGCAGTAGAAGGGATTTAGTTTAAACCGTAGTATGAGCATGTCTAAAAGAAGGTGGTACCAAGACCAGTAACCTCAATTACTTGCTGCCAGGATTGATCACACACACAGTTATTCATTATTACAATCAAGATGATAATTTGTGAATTTCTAATCTTTTCCATAAAGTCACACAGCTAAACTGTTTAAACTGAATATTTTATTCTTTTAAGTTATTTATTTATTTTAGTATTTTCACCCAGCCAATTCATAGTAAATAAGGAAGTCACAGATAGCTTTCTTTTAAATACTTAGCCATAACTTGGGTTAAAATGTGCTGCAATTGTTGCTAAAAAGATAATTTCAAAATTTTTATTTTGGGCATGGGCTGGAGAAGTGGCATAGTAGGTAAGAGTACCTATTGCTCTGCCAGAAGGCCTGCATTTGGTTCTTGGAACCCACTTGGCAGCCAAGAGCTATCTGTAATTGCAGTAGTACAGGATCCAATGCCCTCTTCTGGTCTTCTCAGACACGGCACTAATGTGGGGAATACATGCAGACAAAATACCCATGCACATAAAATAAAAATCAATAAATCTTTATTAAAAGAAAAGGAGTGTTTGGGATTTATCATTAGTTAGATCTATGTGTGTGTCTGTGTATATGTGTGCACATGTGAGTGTGGGTGCCTGAAGAGGTCACAGAGGGGGATTATTGGATCCCCTGGCACTAGCACTGTAGGCAATTGTGAGCTACCCACTGTGGGTATTGGGAACCAAACTCTGATCTTCCGTAAAAGCAGTAAGTGCTGTTAAACACTGAGCCCCCTAAAAAGAGAATTTGAGTATCTAAAATGATTTTGAACTTAGAGTGCATATGTGCAAATTCTATTGGCTAAGAATGTGGAACAAATTATTCTCCTTAGAAAGATTAAATAGCTCACATACCACCCATAGTCTTTGTATTTGAAGCAAATTTTAGTGTTGAACATAACTTTTTTTTTACATTTTTTAATTAATTTTTTTACATTCCACTCCCAGTTTCCTTTCCCTCCTCTCCTCCCACCCCCTCCATTCCCCCCCTCCCATCTGCTCCATGGAGAGGGTAAGGCCTCCCCTAGGAAGTCTACTAAGTCTGTCCCATCATTTCATTGAGGCAGGACCAAGGCACCTCTCCACCCCACACCCCTTTGTCTAGTCTGGGCAAGGTGTCTCTCCATATAGAATGGACTCCACTAAGTCAGTTTGTGCATTAGAATTGGATCTTAGACCCACTGCCAGTGGCCTCATATATTGTCCCAGTCACACCATTGTCACCTATATATATTAAGGCATCTAGTTCGGTCTTAAGCAGGTTCCCCATTTGTCAGACCTGAGTCAGTGATCTCTCACTAGCCCAGGTCAGCTGATTCTGTGGGTTTCCCCATCATGGTCTTGACTCCTTTGTTGATACTTTTGCTCCTCCCTCATTTTGATTGTACTCCAGGAGCTTGGCCCACTGGTTAGTTGTAGATTTCTGCATCTGCTTCCGTTTCTGGAAGAAGATTCAAGCTTCTCTGGGGTTATGGATTGTAGGCTGGGTATCTTTTGCTTTATGTCTGGTATCCACTTATGAGTGAGTACATACTATATTTGTCTTTTTGGTTTTGGCTTCCCTCATTTAGGAGTTTTTTTTTTTTTTTCCTAGTTCTGTCCATTTGCCTGCAAATTTTAGGATGTCATTGTTTTACTGCTGAGTAGTATTCCATTGTGTAAATATATCTCATTTTCTGTATCCATTCTTTAGTTGAGGGGCATCTAGGCTGTTTCCAAGATCTGGCTATTACAAATAATGTTGCTATGAACATAGTTGAACAGATGTCTTTGTAGTGTGAATGAGCCTCCATTAGGGTATATGTCCAACAGTGGTATTGCAGGGTCCTGAGGTAGGTTGATCCCTAATTTTCTGAGAAATCGACATACTGATTTCCACAGCTGCTGTACAAGTTTGCACTCCCACTAGCAATGGAGGAATGTTCCCCTTTCTCCACATCCTCTCCAGTATAAGCTGTCATTGGTGTTTTTGATTTTAGCTATTCTGATGGGTGTAAGATGGAATCTCAGAGTGGTTTTGATTTGCATTTCCCTGATGACTAAGGATGTTGAGCATTTCCTGTGATGTCTTTTTGTCATTTGAGATTGTTCTGTTGAGAATTCTCTGTTTAGATCTGTACCCCCTTTTAAATTGGATGAGCAGTATCACATTAGGGAAGGAGTCTGGACTGGTAGCCAGCCATGTAGGCCGTGCAGCCAGCCTATTCCCTTTATACCTTGTTTGCTGGCTATTCTTGCTCAGAAGTGTTTCTTAGCTCTCATGGGCTGTTGTTTTTCCATTTGTTACATGAAGATAATAGCCACATCCCATAGGGTTGTAAAGATTGAATCTGCAATACATAAATTATTTTATGCGGGAGCTGGCAAATGCTCAGCACATGCTAACTATTGTTTTTGTTTTCTAAGGATTTCTTCTTTTTTTGACAGCTTAGTCATGCGTTTTATTTTTGTAGCCTTAGAGCTCAAACCCTTGGAGATCAAACTGGCCTGTTCATGCTAGGCCAGTGGTCTGCCTTAGCCACATCTCCATTCTTAATTATTTTGAAGAAGAGTATTTCAGTCAGCATTTTCTGAATTTTACAGTGAGAGGGTTTTAATGATAACCCGTCTTCTGTATCACTCTGATTTTTACAGAGCAGAAGTGACAATCTTGTAAAACAGGTTTCCTCACTGCTGGAGGAAACATTTCTAAAACTGTATGACATGTTTACTATTCGCACATCATGTATTCTCATAGGTGGAAGCAGAATGACCTGTGAAATTGTAATCTGCTCTTCCATTTTCTTTTCCAGAATTATATACACAGAGTCAGCTGCTGGCTTTCACTTTGATAATTTAGACTTTGATTCCATGAAGTTTGGTAGTACTGTGGCTCGCCGACTCTCCACAGCTTCTTCAGTCACCAAACCCCCACATTTCATCCTCACTACTGACTGGATTTGGTACTGGTTGGATGAGTTTGGTTCTTGGCAGGAATATGGACGACAAGTAAGTGTGATGATAAAAAAGATGACCATTTCATATAAGATGGGGAATCCGTTCTAAACAAAAGCACAAAGATGCCAGGCAGCGTACTTGATAGACACTAGGATTCCTAGACACCTGGATGAGGGTAATCTTTACAAGCCTGTCTTTGAATGATGAGACATCTTGGCTCATGAGAATTGAATGTTAAATAACTGTCATAATGTCAGCTTTTTTTCATTGATTTTATTAGTTAATAGAAAACTCTGGAGCTAGTACCTAAACTATAGTATAAAGTTGAAGGCTTTCAAATTGCCTCTCTTGCCTGTTTCAGAAAGTAGCAATGTGTGAGAATATAGATTTATATCAGAAACTGATTTGGAACCCAAATCAGGTAACTCACTGTGAAATTATATGAAGGTGTCTACAAAGGCCGAGATCAAAAGGATCCTCTGGGGACTTACAGAAATGCAGTATGTGGAGAGATCCTTTTCCACAGTGAAAATTATCTGGGGCCTAATGGTGACTTGTTGGAGATTGTATTGAGGGTTGGTTTCTTGTTCTTCAGTATATTCCGAATGCCCCTCTCTGGTCACATTTTTTTGCTCTTCCACCAAGGGTGCATCTTCCATGCTTAGAGGAATACATTGTAGCTTCTTCAGAAGTAGATGGCTGCCAAAGGAGGTGGCATTGCTGGTTAGCTGGAGCTGGTTAGCTGGAGCTGGTTAGCTGGACGGGTGCTGTTTGTTGGCTGGCCTTACTAACACCTTTTTTCTATAGTTTCTCCCAAACTCCAGCTATCCCTGCTGCTCTGGCCTGCCTCCCCAACCACTCCTGCTTTCTCCCCTCTCTTCTCTAGTGTCCTGGGGTGTCTTACCTGTACGTGGCCTCATTTAGATAAATTTTCCAGCTTAGTCAGGAGCATGAGAGAAAGAGGCTGGGGCCTGACATGGAAGAGAGGAGAGAGATACTAGCTGAGCATGTTCCATGAGTCTGTCTTGCCTGGTTACAAGATTTTGATAGGCTAGAAACGCTTACCAAAGGCAAGAGTAGTATTTTATTTGATGATCCCTCTGGCTCTTGGGGGAAGACAGGGCAGCCCTGTTGATGCAACACCGAGGGCTCTGATGGCACTCAGGCAAAAGTAGGTCCCTGGGCGGCTTCCCAGACTGTATCACCAAGCTCAGAGTTGGAGACCTTTCTCCTTCAACAGTCCACACTTGGGTTTTGCATGTTCTTACTCTTTGTTTACAGTCTATAAACTTGTTTTGGGATCCCTGGAAATGAACTGCGTATGATGTCATTGGTGTGCCCACATGCTGTTAGGTAGACTTGATAGGTTCTTGGGGTCTCCCTCTATAGTGTCAGCTGTATAGCCTTGGGGTCATTCTCCTTTCATATATTTGGGCTCTTTAGTTTTTTTTTTTCCTAATTTCCAGTTTAAAGCCAGTTTTATACTCTTGATTTTCAAGAAAAGCTATGTTTCAGAGTTTAGAATGTACCCCAAAATTTAATGTCAGAATCAACCAGGCCTGCCTTAGAACACATGGGAATTTTCCATTCCTTCAAATCTTACTCGTCTCTCCAAGTGCTCAACTTGGGTTTCCTCAGCTTAACCACTAGTTTCTTCTTCCAGACTCCAGCCAAAGTCCCTTTGCTTTTGCTTTCTTTTTGGCTGCCTTCATTATCTTCCCTGTGATAACCAGTCTTAAGTGATGGCTTTTGACCTTAGGGTTTGTCTGACTCCATGTCTCCTCTCTGCTGATTCTTTCCTTCATTTCCTTGGATTAAAAGGACCTGTTTTTGTATTCTTTGCCCTTCGCTGTCTGGAAGGGATTTTTATACTGCCTCCTCATTCTTCCAAATTATACCCTAATAATTTAGTTTTGAAGGATGATAGAGTTTAAAAGGAGAAATTTAGGCACTTTATAGGACACATAAATTACATTCCTTTCAAAACTGTAAACCTGCTGCCCCATCCCTGACCACCTTCATAGCACCAAGTCATTCTTCTAAAGGCTAGGCCTTGATTCATGACTGTTTCCCCCAGGAACTTGGCTGGGTTGTGCCTCCGCAAAGGCCGCTCTCAGCAATGTTTAGCTCTGTGTCACCCACATAGGCCTTGGGACACTTGAAGATGATAAGTTGATCCAACTACATGCTTTTTATTTGCCCTCCTTTCTTGCTGTACTGTTTCTCAGAGGCAGAGTCAGATTTTCTTTTATTTATTGATTTGTCCATAAATTGTAGAACTTGCAGCTTAGTGAAGAGTAGATTTATTTTTCTTATGTGTGTGGGTATTTTGTCTGCGGTTATGCCTGTGCACCATGTGTATGCAGTGCCTGCAGAGGCCAGAAGGGGGCTTCAGACAACCACTGGAACCCAAGTTACAGACAGCTGCCAGAAGGGGGCGTCAGACAAGCCCTGGAACCCAAGTTACAGATAAGTTAGCTGCCAAGTGGGTACTGAGAATTAAACCTGGGTCCTCAGCAATTGCAATGGTGGATTCTCTTAACCACTGAACCATCCCTACAGCCTCAGGTCCTACTTCTTTAAGTTTCACCCCACAATGGAGACTATGCTTTCAGAGCATAAATCCTTGAGAGAGAAACTGAAAGCCCCCCCCCCCCAAGAGGCTCAGGCCCCCAGGATTCCGGCCCAGGACCTTGGCCACCCCAATCACCAGGCAGAGGCAAAAGCTTGATGCAAACAGCAAGAGGTTTTATTGCAGTTGTTTAACAAGCTAACCCCATGTTAGCTCGGGCCCTTCATCCATCCACCATGGCTGATGGCTGGGAAAGATGGCCAGAAGCCACTGCATAGAGATCTTATAGGGCAGTGTAAGGGGAGTGTCTAGGGGTACGCACAGGCTCAGGATTGGTGTGCCTCCAGGCTTGCCCTGTGTTGATTGGTCAACTGGTTGTTATGGCCCATAGGCCCTCCCAGGGCGATTGCTATGCTCTGCGTGTTATTGCTGAGCACTTGTCTGTAAAGCACACCCGGAGCCATAAAGCATAGCACCACCAGCTAACCACGAGGCAGGCATCTGACCTTAGTGACCGAGGCAAGGTCAGGCAAGCACGTGCTAGGCTGTTATGGCTGCTGAAATGGGGAGCCAGTCCCTTCAGAAACCACATCTAAATCATAGCAAAAAACTCAATTTAAAGTTAGTCCATTCAATCCCAAATACTATCTATTAGGTAATTGCAGAGAAAATGAGAGATTGAAATAAATAACTGAAAGAATAAAAAAAGATTCTCCAAGAGATCAGAAAAAGAAAACAACACAGAAAAGGACTGAATGAAGCCTGACAGGACAATGAAGGGAATGAGAATAGCCATAGAAGAGGTAGCATTTCTTGAGTTGATCAGTTAAGTAGCCTAGGTGAATTCGATGTTGATAGTTTGCCATCATTTGTATAGTCGTGCCATCTATTCTGAAGAATTTTAAAAATGCTTGCTTGTTTATCTGGTTATTTGTGTGTATGTATGTGTATGGGTGTGCTCATACCTCTGCATGGATGTGGATGTCAAAGGTCAAATGGCAGTTGGTTCTCTTCTATTACGTGTTCTAAGGATTGAACTTGGGTTATTTGCCTTGGTGGCAAGTACCTTTTCCTGCTGAGCCATCTTGCTGTTCTGTGCTTTTTTATTGCTTGTGTCCTGGTTACCCTGCTCAGTGGGATCTATAGAACTGTGTTCTGTGTACAAAAATAGCTTCAGGAGACTCATGCCACTTCCTTTCCGTGTGCCCCGTCCCCTCACCCTGCTCCCTGGCACCTCTTCTTGCCCTCATCATCTGTAACAAGATCGTCTGTCTAGAACAGTGGCTGGATTGGCCAGCGTCTTTGCTCATCACCACACTCTCTTGCCTCCATGACAACTCTGGATTTCCCCTTACAGGGCACCGTGCACCCTGTGACCACCATCAGCAGCAGTGATGTGGAAAAGGCTTACCTGGCATTCTGTGTCCCAGGGGCTGATTCCCAGGCAGCCACCTTGAAGTTCCAGGCTGGAAAACACAACTACGAGTTAGACTTCAAAGGTAACCTTCCTTGTAGAGAGAGTCTAGCCCTCCCCTTCCCCCGGGAGGCCTGGGCTGGTATAGGAAAGGAAAGGAGGATGTATCTCTCTCAAAAGACAGCTAGACCTGTCAACAGGTGATGCCGTCCTGCACTGTCAAGGCGATGGATGTGCTTCAAGGGTAGGAGGCGAGCACAAGGCCAGTGAATACAGTGTGGCTGCTCTGTATCTGAAGGTTAACCTCCGTCCCTGACGGGGCCCACATGGCTCTGTTACGAAGGGTCACCTCATTGCTCCTGGTCTGGCACCAAGGTCACTGCCTTTTCTGTAGGTGCTTTCAGCTTTCAGCCGTGATGTTATAGGACACACTAATTAAACGTCCTGTACTTGTGGTTAGTGTCCAGAAGCTAGAGCTGAGATGAGTTTCCCCATGTACCTTGGCAGACAGAAGCAGAGAAGTCACCCATTGGCCAGTTCTTCAGTGGCTGGTTTATGAGACTCCTTCAAGTTTGAGTTGTGCTTTAGTTTCCCACGCCATCTCTGTGCAGACATTTCCTTCCAGCTCTTCTTAGCTCACCTTTGCTTACATTTAATGTTTATATCTGGAGCCTTGCAAACCCAGCATGTTAAAGGGATTCAGTGTGCTATCCACACCGTTTTTGTATACTCTGTTCCCTGTGGAAAGCAGCAAATTGCCATTGGTGAATTTTCCTAAAACCACTTGGTTGCTTGTTGTCAGCCAGTTATTTTTGGTTTGTAGTTTTATAGCACTAGTGGTTTTGTTTAAGGAAGACTCCCTGATGCTTGTCTTGCCCCTCAGAAGTTTCTTCCATTCTTCGGGGGAATGACTTGTACTGGAGGACACCAGCCAAGAGTGTCACAAATGATGATAGTGTGTAGAAGAGCACAGGTGGAAAGAAAAAGTGGGATTGCCATGAAGACTTAGTTTATGCAGCGGTCACTCCTCTGCCTGCTAACCATAGTTCAAGAGAATACTTTTAAATATCTGGAAAATGTCAAACATACCTTTCTAGTTCTCAACTTGGATTTCAGTCCCTGGAGATAGAACAGACTTTCAGGACGATGTGGCTAGAAAAAACATTCTCACAGTGACCTGACCTAAGGTCATTAGGTGGTCACAGTTCACCAGTGGCTTTATTTTTATTTTTTTGGTAGCTAGTAGTATCTATAAAAGAAAAGCATGGAAGTCATTGGCTTCACCTACATAGTCTCTACTATGTATAATGAAATAGTCTCAAGCCAAACTCTGCCACTTACACTAACTGATTATCAGGAAGCAAATACTTCCAAAATGACTTACTCTATGGGTTTGGGGATACCAGCTCTGTTAAGGATTCTTGTCATGAAAGAGTAACTGAAAATGATAGCCAAGTTTCCAGAAGCAGAGTAATGACATCTTGTTCCTGGCTGTCAACAGTAGAATCACTCATGGCAAGCTCAGTTAGGGATGTGCCCCAGTGTAAATTAAGGAAACAACAAGGTCATTAGGAAAAGCGGCTCTTTTATTCCCCCACAGAAGGTTAGGGAAGGTGTCCAACATATGCTTAGCCAGTCCATATATGCCAAATAGTCTATTTCAACTATTTTTTTTTGGGGGGGGGGTATTTCGAGGCAGGGTTTCGCTGTAGTTTTGGAGGCTGCCCTGGAACTAGCTCTTGTAGACCAGGCTGGTCTCAAACTCACAGAGATCTGCCTGCCTCTGCCTCCCGAGTGCTGGGATTAAAGGCGTGAGTCACCAACGCCTGGCACTCATTTCAACTATTGAAAGGTCATTTAAGATTCATTATATATGGTTGTAGCGCAAGTTCTAATAGGTCTTAATAATAAAAATCTGAGTCAGATAAAGGGGAAAATGCTGAAAGATCAGAAAGATGAAGGAGTAAGCCACAGCCACACCTTACCTCCTTAACTTCTCAGCCAAAAGGAGACTGAGCTGTCTCCCCCCACCTTATCACTTCCTCTCTCCCCCCAGCTGTATCACTTCTGTCTGTCTGTACAGACCTCCAGACCTCTATGGTTAACTAGTGGCTAGCTCCTCCCTCTGATCTTCAGGCAAGCTTTGTTTATGAGAGTATAATCAGGATATCACTGCATATGGTTAATAAGCCAAGTGTGCTAATGAGCAAAGCATCAGTGGAAGGTTTAGTGGTGGGCGACAGAAGGGTTATGGGGCTAGGTGGATAGCTGACTCCAGAAGATAACAAGGGTAGCTGCAGTGTAAGGGACACGCCCTCAGATTATTACATAGTTTATGTTCAAAGGCAGGTAAATTCCAGACGTCCAAAATTTTTAGTATTAAAATGTTCTTAAAATGAAAATAAAAATTGGTTTATATGTTTAAGTATAAAAGTAGCACTTGATAGGGTTTTCTTAATAGGAAATATAACTTGTAGCTATTTGTCATTTTCATTGCAAATGTGGATGGCTACCTACCCTCAGAACCTGAGATTGGGGGTGGGTCAATTGAAAAGACTGATAAACATTGCTATAGAGTCAGCTTACTCAAACTGTTTTCTTTATTTTTTTCTTCAGTTTTTATATTTTATTACATTACTCCCAATTCCCCTTTCCCCCACTCCTCCCATCTGCTCCATGGAGAGGGTGAGGCCTCCCCTAGGAAGTCTACTAAGTCTGTCCCATCGTCTCACTGAAGCAGGGCCAACGTAGCCCCACCCCACCCCACCCCACCCCACCCACACACACCCCTGTGTCTAGGCTGAGCAAGGTATCTCTCCACATAGAATGTGCTCCACTAAGTCAGTTTGTGCGTTCGACTTAGATCTCAAACCACTGCCAGTGGCCTCATACATTGTCCCAGCCACACCATTGTCACCTTTATTAATAAGGGAGTCTAGTTCCGTGTTGTGCGGGTTCCCCATTTGTGAGACCTGAGTCAGTGATCTCTTGATAGCTCAGGTCAGCTGTTCTGTAGGTTTCTCCATTGTGATTTTGACTCCTTTGTTCATATTATCGCTCCTCCCTCACTTTGATTGTACTCCAGGAGCTTGGCCCAATGGTTAGTTGTGGATTTCTGCATCTGCTTCCATCTGTTTCTGGAAGAGGGTTCAAGCTCCTCTGGGGTTATGGATTGTAGGCTGGGTATCTTTTGCTTTATGTCTGGTGTCCACTTATGAGTGAGAACATACTATATTTGTCTTTCTGGTTTTGGGTTACCTCACTCAGGATGTGGTTTTTTTGTTGTTGTTGGTTTTTTTTGTTTGTTTTTTCTAGTTATGTCCATTTGCCTGCTAATTTTAGGAAGTCATTGTTTCTTACCACTGAGTAGTACTCCATCGTATAAATATACCACATTTTCTTTATCCATTCTTCAGTTGAGGGACAGCTTACTCAAATTTAAGAAAAATCATAAGGACAAAACTACTACCTATAAATTGCATTAGCTCAAGATGTGGTAATCTGGTCTCAGGCTTGGCTGGAACTTCTTAACATCCAAGCTGGAAAAATTGCTAAGCAAAATAATAATTAAAATATTATTGGAAGGAACAATTCAAAAGCATTCATGTGTAAATTGATACACCAATTACTAATCATTTCTCTATTCATTAAACGCAGTCTCCTAAGGATACCTATTTCCTTTATGACTATTTGAAGTGTGAAAAATGGCCTTTTTAAGACTGATCTTAGGTTTTACATGTTGGATTATGTGCCCAACCCACTTAATTTATGTTTGCAGAACATTAGTGCTGTGCATACACACACATGCATTTGCGAAAATACACAGGCACACCCATGTATGTGTACATGTGTATATTTTCTCATTAGATTTTCTTTTTAGCCTTTCTACAGAAAAACCTTGTGTATGGCACCATCAGAAAGGTTTGTCGAAGACCCAAGTATGTATCTCCCCAGGATGTCCAGATGAAGCAGTCCTGGTAAGCGACATTTGTGAGCTTGCTTGGTGTATGATTTCAATTGAGGAAAGCTTTGCTGCCAGTAACAGAAGCTTCTCAGACTATATGAAAGGGTACTGGACTGGCGGTCATGACTAGCATACTACTGTCATGAAACCTATGGGAGCTGGGCTGTGGTGGCACACACCACTTAATCCCTGCACCAGGGAAACAGAGGCCAGCGATCTCTGAGTTCAAGGCCCGTCTGGTCTACAGAGTGAGTTCCAGGACAGTCATGGCTATTCATAGAAACCCTGTCTCAAAAACAAAACAGTATTAAAATTCAAACCTTCTAGTTGGAAAGTCTTTGAGCCCTAGTGACAATTAGCATTATGGTCATCAGAAAGTCACAAGACTGTCTGTTGGAATGTGCAAACCTGGCTAGATTTGAAGCCAGCCGCCATCAGTTTGTCTTTAAATGTGACAACTGAGTTATGGACCTGAATCTTAAAAAAATGTTGAAATTTCCAGGTGTGTGCCATCACACCTTTAATCCTAGCACTCAGGAGGCAGGCAGATCTCTGTGAGTTTGAGGTCAGTCTGGTCTACAAGGCAAGTACAAGACAGCTAGGGCTATACAGAAAAACCCTGTCATGACAAACAAACAAAATCACAAACAAGCAAACAAACAAAAGAAAGAAGCTACTGGTATAATAGTCATTAGCAAACCAGCTTCACTTTCACAGTGGGTTTCTTTGTGTCACAGGATGGCTACTAGGAGATCTAATTGAACCCATCAGCAGCACATAAGGCAGGAGAGAGACTTTCTGTAGCTGATGAGAAATTCTTGAGCTCAGCACTGATAAAACCCTTTAAAGCAAGAGTGGTTTAGTCTTGGGCAGGTGTGATGGGATTGAGCTAGCCAAACCACATAGCTGTGTACCAGAAGAAGATGGCCCGGATAGTGAAGATGTACCAAGTTCCCCTTAGAGTCCGAGTTGGCCATGGCCAGTGCTGGGACTTTTGGACAACAGTGTTGTTAGCTGCCTAAGCTTTATTAGCCCAAGAAGCCAAGATCACTTTGGGTTTGTTGGTTCTCTGAAGACTTCAGAGAGAAAGTTTATTGATTGTGTTTGTAAAACAGAGAGGTCATTTTAAAAAGATCTGGTATAAGTAAGAGGAAATGTGTATAGCAGTCCAAGAAGCAATGTCCTGGGACTCAAATACAGCAACATAAGTTCTTGAAAAAAAAAAGTCCTTTTTTCTCTTCTAATTAAAGTTTATTTTTGATGAAATGTAAAACATGTACTTGTTTAAAGTCAGAACTCTATAATACAGTATATCCAGTAGTTTATATCTGTGTTATCTATACCCTGATCTCAATGTGGTACCCACTTTTGTTTGCTTCTAATTGTTCTTTTCTGTGCTTATCTTTGCAAAAATAAAAAATAATATGTATATATATGCACAGATAACCATAAAGCCATCTGCCTACTTCCCGTCTTTGCTTACATAAAAGATAGCCTATGACATATACACCTTTTAAAAATTCTTTAGGCCGGGTGGTGGTGGCGCATGCCTTTAATCCCAGCACTTGGGAGGCAGAGGCAGGTGGATATCTGTGAGTTCGAGACCAGCTTGGTCTACAATAGCTAGTTCCAGGACAGCCTCCAAAGCCACAGAGAAATCTTGTCTCGAAAAACCAAAAAAAAAAAAAAAAAAAAAAAAAAAAAAAAAAAAAAAAAAAAAAAAAAAAAAAAAAAAAAAAAAAAAAATTCTTTAAAATATCCTGGTAATTGCTCTGTTCAAATCATTGAAGACTTTTTTAATCTGCTGCTTGTGTGGTCCATTAGCATTTGTATATAACATCATTTATTTATTTGTTCCTATTCATGGATGTTTGTGTTTTCAGTATTTGGCTATTAAAAAATACAATGCTACAGATAACCCTCTGGTGTATTTGGAGGTTGGTTGTCAGGTCAGAGTCAGAAGGCAAATTGAGTTCCTTTACATGAGCTTGGACCACTCTGGCCACCCAGCAAAATCACTGTTGACTCATTTCCCTTGGCCTTGCCTCTGGTGAACCCTCAAGGCCTTGGGCTTCTGCTCTTTTCATAGTGTACTTTAGGTTGCTGACTTTTATGAATCAGATTGAGTATATATATATTTTTTTAAAACATAAGGGGCGATTCACCAATTCCATTTTTTTCTTCTGTGGACTGTCTGTTTTTCAAGACAGGGTTTCTCTGTGTCACCCTGGCTATCCTGGAGCTTGCTCTGTTGACCAGGTTGGCTTCAAACTCACAGAGATCCACCTGCCTCTGCCACCTGAGTGCTGGGATTAAAGGTGTGCACTACCACAGACTGGGCCTTATTTTTTTCTTAATTTAAATTTTACTATTATGATTGTGTATGTAGATATGTGTGTGAAAACAGACTTGTGTATGCATGGCCTATGCATAGAAGGGTGAGAGAAAACTTTGGGGATCTGGTTCCCCCCTTCCATCGTGGGTGCCTAGGAACAAAGGTCTCGCACTCACACAATGAGTGAAACCCCTCCATAGCCCCAAGAGCTTCTTAGTCTCCTAGGGCCTTTTAACCCTTGACTGCTTCTGTAAACTTCAAATACATCCTCTTGGCTGGTTTTCTGCTTTTTTATTCTCTTGGTATTTATAAGGCATTTCTCATTAGAGCCGTTTTTTACAAATTTGTTTTTGTTTTTGTTTTACTGTTTTGGTTAAATGCCAGTCTTTTTGGTATTGCTTCTAGGTTTAGTTGTGACTGATTGCAATGGTCCTATATCACATTACATGAAGTAATTGTTTTTATTCTTTCCCTATGCAGAGCTTGCCCTAAGCAAAATTTGGAAAAGTCTTTTTCTCTCTGTCTCTTTTCTGAGACTGGATTTCTTGTGACATCATTCTAATTTCGTTTTTAGGGGACCATAAGCAGACATGTGCTTAGCATGTTCAATGCAAGGCCCTGGATGGTCCCTGACACCACAAAAAGTAGTTATTGTAACCAGATACAGAATAGGGCACAAGTGGGCTGTGGGCTGAGTGCTGTGTGTCCTGCTCCTGCCCATACAGGGGAGGTGCCCACTGCAGCGTTGGTGGCTATTTGGGCACATATGAGTCTGCAGGAGCATCATTTAATGTAAGATTTGAAACTGATTTGAATACATGCAGTTTAGTTCCATTTTCAATTAATATAATCCAGGGCTGATAAAGCATTTGCTGTCACACTTGACTTACCCAAGTTTAGACCCTTGGACCCACATAGTGGTAGGAGAGACGCAACTACACATGATCCTGTGGCTTCCACATGCATAGTGTACACATGTGCTTGTGAGGCACACGCTATGCACATACACGTACACACAAATGAAGTGTAATAAAAATTAAAAATGCTTTCACTTTTAAAAAAGATATTTTATTTTCCTTTCTACCACTTTGGAAGTTGTGTGCTGTGTTAGAGACAATGTAAGAAGCTCTGTGGGTTCTTCACTTAGGCACAAATGAATGAATGAATGAATGTCTTTGTTTTCCTACTGTAAGGACCTGCATACTCTCTTGATATTGTGTGTGTGTGTGTGTGTGTGTGTGTGTGTGTGTGTGTGTGTTAACTTTAGGAGGCACATGTTCTATAATGTCAAGGCTTCATTAAATTACTCATATTTTAACCTTGATTTGTCTTTTCAGATTTCTTAGGTAAGATTTCATAGGGAAGAGAGAGGTGATTGTTTCTGGTTAGTCTGAATGTCTGTTTGTCTTTGAAAGATGCTTTCACTGGGTGTAGACTGTTAGGCTGTAGTTGCTGTCTCTCAGAACACTGAAGCTACCACTTTACTGTCTTCTGCTTTTCATTGTAGCTTTTGCAGTAGTATTGTAGGTCTATTACTTTTTGATGCTATCATGCTTTCTTTTTTTTCTTTTGCCCCCTCTGGATAATTGTAAAGGTCTCAGTTTTGGAGTTCTGCACCTCATTCTGCTGTATCTAGGCATGTATTTATATCTGTTCTGCCTGAGATTCCGTGGGCTTCTTAAAGCTGTGGTTGATGTGTCTCATCAGTTGTGTTCTGTCTAGAGCTTCCTTAGGTTCTGATTGGATTCCCACCAGGCCTTTCTCCCACATATCCCATCTTCTTGCTCTCTGGACCAATTTCTGAATACTTTCACTCCACACATCTTTCAGCTCACTTCACTCTTGAGATGGGAAGATCTGTGAATTAGCCATTGAGTTTTTATTGTCAAGGATTCAATTTGTTTTTCTAGCAGCTCTGCTTGGTTCTAGTTAGATTCTTGTAGATCTTTTTATGGTTTTCCTACATGTGTTTTCCAAGTGTTTTCTTTAGTCATAGGAAGAATAAATGCTGATTTATAGTTGATAATTTCACTGTCTTAATAGGTGAAAAAAAGAACTTTGTGGCTGGTTCTTGCTGATGGATACTTGCTTAGTTATTTTTCAACTGTGACATTTTCCTAGAAAAATTATGTGTGGGATTTCCTGGAGGCTTGGGATGAAGGTAGATCTTCTGCAGGAAGGGAAATTAGTTGGATTATAGTTTCCAGTGATGCTCCTAATCCCTTTGAGTCATGTTTTTTAGTACTGCTTTATTTGTTTATATTTTTAGAAGATAATGTAATGCCTCTGTTGCATGGCACCCTTTAATTTAGCACAGAAGTGTGTGTGAGTGTATGAATTACAAAAAAGAATGCACATTTAAGAAGGACAAAAACAGATCACAAGAACCCTTTCATCATCTTAACTCAAATTTCTGTCACCAAGGGGGTTTGGGGGCCAATTTTACAGTTTTAAAAATACTTTCTGAAGCTGGGCATTGGTGGTGCATGCTTTTAATCCCAGCACTTGGAAGGCAGAGGCAGAAGCAGGCTCTGTGAGTTTGAGGCCAGCCTGGTCTACAGAGCGAGTTCCAGGACAGGCTCCAAAGTAATACAGAGAAACCCTTCCTCGAAAAACAAAAAAAAATTTCTGTCGAGTGTATATCATTAAGGCTTCAAAAAAAATTTTGATGTCTTTTGAGTTTCCAGACTTAGGTAAAGGCTGGGGCCCATGTGTACTGCTTTACTGAAGTGCTCTGTCTCTTTTGTGTCGTTGGTGGGGTGCAGATGAGAAGTGCATTTTTCAGGACTGATGGCTTTTTAGTTTGGCTGGTAGGCAAGATGAAAGTGCTCTTGTGTTGTAGATACTTTGCTATGTACTTCCTTGTCCTCTGTCTTTTAAAGTATATTATACTAAGATTCAGGACTGGTGATATTGTCGAGTAGAGATCACCTGTGATGGATTTCCATGTGTGTAAGGACTCACTGGTTTTGCTTATTACTTCTTCTAGCAGTACTAAGTTTCAAGGCCCAAGGAGCATCCCAGACTACTGGGACCCTGCAGCCCTGCCAGACCCAGGATTTAAGGTATGGGATTCACGCACCCTGGAGCTGGACAGAGGGGATCTGTAAAGATGGATGAAGCCATGCCTCATGGCACTGGAGGGTAGAGATGTATGTGGGCTTTGAGTTTTGTTTCTGTAGATGTTGGGCATTTTAAGGCCAGTGACTATGGGTTGTATGTATAGGTTGACTGTAGCTCTCGGGGAAAGGAGGTGCTTAGTGTAAGGGGAATAGATGAATTGCGACAGAAGTAAGGAGCTTGCAAGTAGGGCTGGACTAATAAATCTGTTTCACTAAGTAATAAAGAGAAACCAGGGGGATATTTGAGTGTGATGAGGGACGTTTAGAGGGGGGGACACCAGACATCTGTAGACAGGAGGACAGCTCATTTGAGGCTTGCTTCCTGGGAGTGGTGCTGAGCACAACACTTTCTTGACGAATGTCCTTACTGCTCCAGCAGTATGAGGCACCTTGGCTAATTTCCAGGGCTGGGAACATGCTGAGCACTGCAGATAGGCCTTTCCAGTATGGAGGCTGTCCTGGGAGGATGTCTCTTACAGAGCACGAGGCACACACACGGTAGCAGGAGGCAGCAAGTGAAAGGCTAGAGGAGCTCACACACCTTTGTTGATTGTGATTCTCATGGGCCAGGTGCTCTAGTTTTTTGTCTTTGACCTATGTGAGATATAAAATAGTAACAGTGACATCCTGGAGACACTTAGGATGGGTGAATTAGGCACCACCTGTTGAACTTATGAGCCATTTTCAAAGTGAACAAGAGGTAAATTACTAACTTTGAAAACATTCTATACCCGGAGAGACTGCATCTCAGGGAAGAGGGGCCAAGCCATCACTCTTTGGTCCTAGTAGTCTCAGGAACAGTTCATGTATTTGAGTCATATGACAATAACATGTGAAAATTGTTTTCCCCATGTAGAAGATTATTCTCAGTTCTTCCTCAGAAGAGTACCAGAAGGTGTGGAACCTCTTCAACCGTACACTACCTTTCTACTTTGTTCAAAAGATCGAGCGGATCCAGAACCTGGGCCTGTGGGAAGTCTACCAGTGGTATGTTTTAATGATGGCGGCTGCCTTCCTTACCCAAACATGCCTGACTCCCCAGGACAGTCAGGGGCAGCAGTGTGCTTGCCTAGGCCTGTTGTACACCATGAACAGTCTCTGCTCTTTCCCATTCTCAGGCTGTGTGATGTAGCAGCCCTTTGTAAAGGCGTGGGGCCTGAAGCTTCCCTAGCACAGGTCCTATTCTCATTGTGACTAGCAAAGCCAGACTCCATTCTCATCCATTCTGACTTTGGGAAGGTCAGTGGGGCAGAGCAATACAGTTCATTCACACTACCAGCCTTAAGAACTCAAAGCTGTAGCCAGAGAGCAGAACCACCCCATTTGTTTGTTTGTTTATTCATTCTTCCCATGAGGACCAGTATGCTCATGGTCACTCAACTTTTCTCCACATAGAGTAGAAATTCTTCATGGCTCCCCACGGTGGCGCTTGCTGACTTGGCCTCACATGAGTTTGGATCAGTGTCACAGTGCTCTGCAGTGCTGGAACCAGTCACAGTAGAGAGGGAGTGTGGCTCTGAGAGTGAATGCTCCCCACCCCAGACCAGCAACCTTACAACTCTTCTCTGTTTCCCAGCTTCCCAGGTTCAGTTACACTCAGGAGCTGGGCAGCACAAGGACCCATGCTCCTTCTAAGAGCTGTTCTGCTTCTGGAACCTTTTTGCTATGGAGGGGAAGCTTTCCTTTTGCTCTTTGACTAGATCCATTCTGTGCTCTGTGGCTTAAGCCTCCAGGGGTTGGCCTGGGAAGCCATAACCTTCTTCTGGCCTGATGCTTTTTTTTTTTTTTTTTAAGAAAATGGGTTCAGGAGACGGTTCTTTGGTGGTCAACACCTTCCTTCAACAAGCATGTCTTTCCCATTGTAGGCAGAAAGGGCAGATGCAGAAGCAGAACGGAGGGAAGGAAGTAGATGAGAGGCAGCTGTTCCATGGTACAAACACCAGCTTTGTGGATGCCATCTGCCAGCAGAACTTTGACTGGCGGGTCTGTGGTCTACATGGCACATCGTACGGCAAAGGTAAGGCAGGGCGGCCTCCACCAGGAGCTGGGAAACTGCTTAAAGTCAGCCTCGCAGAGGCCACAGGGGGAGCCGGCCAGTCCGCATGCCAGTGGCAAGTGCACACTGCCTTCTGGCCTCTGTGGGGACAGCTCAATCCTGAGCCGGCAGTGCTCTGGCTGTTGCTCCATTATGTGTGATTGAGAGCTGAGTCAACTATGGCATGGCAGTCCTGCTCACTGGGACTTGTTTCTGGTAAAATGGGGGCTCTGAGAGGTAGTAGGAGTTTGAAGTGGAGAGCACCACCTTTCTAACCTTGCTGAGTACCCTAGACTATGCCTTTCTGACACCCTTAGAGTAGAAACCAGAGAGTGTATCATTCCATCAGCACACGTGAATTCTCTAGGCATTTGTCTCTGTTAGTCATTTAAAAACATTATTTGGTAGTAATTTCAAACTCATCGTAAAGTTGCAAGCGTGTGTTTATATATTTATATACACATGTATGTATTATGATTCTTGCATGAATTATATCTACATTCCTCAATTTTAACATGTTGCCTCTCTTCATCTTTTTATTTTCTGAACCATTTTCAAGTAGCTGGCATCTCTGGTTCCCTCTCACCCTCCAGCATTCATTAAGAAGGCGGCCTCTCATGTTCTAACCAAATTTAGAAAATTCAAGAATTTGTTTTTTGACCAGGTGTGATGGCACACGTCTTTAAATCCAGTACTCAGGAATCAAGGCAGGTGGATCTCTTGGGTTTTGACGTCATCTTGGTCTACATGAGTTCCAGAAGAGCCAGGGTTATGTAGAGAGATCCTGTCTCAAGAAACAAACAAAACGCAAAAAGAATCTGATAATCAGTTTCAGTCTGATGTGACATTTGTGGGACTGACAAGCTGGTGAAAGGTTTATAAACCCCATGTAGAGGGAGCAGCTTCTAGGTCAGGTTCCCATATGAGAAGAATCATTGTTTTATATGTTGGGCTGCTGGTGACTGTAGAATGGTTCAGTAAGAGGAGTGTTACTCATTTTTCATGTTACCCACTGAGGCTGGGTGGGGCAGCCCTGTTTTATAGGTGGGAAACTGAAGTCTAGAACTAAGTATTGACAGACTCTAGGTTTTCACTGGATTCAGAGCTGAGAATAGTTTGAGTTAGGTGACATCCTCGTGTACCCTGCCACATAGCTGTTGATGGCCTCCACGAGTGACACAGAAGGTAGAACACTGGAATAGAAGAGGGATGTGGTGTTGAAAGAGCAGTCTGCTGGCATCGCACTTCGGGTGCACTCAGCTCGCTCTCCCCGTGCCTGTGGAGCCTGTGTGTCGTTTCAGGGAGCTACTTCGCAAGGGACGCTGCCTATTCCCACCACTACAGCAAATCCGACACCCATTCCCACACCATGTTCCTGGCCCGGGTGCTGGTGGGAGACTTCGTCAGGGGCAGTGCTGCTTTCGTCCGCCCTCCAGCCAAGGAAGGCCAGAGCAACGCCTTCTATGACAGCTGTGTGAACAGCATGTCCGACCCAACCATCTTTGTCGTTTTTGAGAAGCATCAAATCTACCCTGAGTACCTCATCCAATACTCCACTTCCTCCAAGCCACCGGCTGCCCCATCCATCTTCGTTGCCCTGGGCTCCTTGTTCACCGGCCGGCAATGAGTGTGGCAGGGCTTTTGGGGGCTGTTTGGGAAGCATTTTTTTTTTTTTTTTTTTTTTTTTTTTTAAACAAAACTTTTAATGAACTCTTACTTAATGTGGCTTCTCGGTGAAGTTACATTCTTCTTTCCATTTTTTTTTTTTCCTCTCCCCTAGTGCTGGGGATGGGGCTTGTGCTTGCTAGGCAAGCACTCTACCACTGAGCTAAACTCCCAGCCCTTTTAAAATGTTTTTATTATGAGGCAGAGTTTTGCTAAATTACATTCTGCCTCAGTCTCCTGAGCAGCTGGGATTACTGGCCTCTGTTGCCAGACCTGACTTGAAGCTACTATCTTAATCCTTAACTTTTATGTCCTTTTAGGTTGGCTTATGATCTCACCAGCAGTGATTGTGAGCCCAAGTTTGTCTTTTAGTAATGTTAGTATTGTATTTTTAACTCTTTGCTGACTTTGATGTTTATTAATAATAAGCACAGAATTTCTACATAAGTTTTATGGATTTTAATTGTTTATGTCTATATAACATTTCTGGTTTTGGAGGGTCTTGTGGGTCCATTGTGCCTTTTTTGTCAGAGCAGCATCGTGGCCCTTGGGGAAGGAGACTGCAGGGAAGGCCTCGGGCTTCACTGTCACTTTGCCCACTGCTCTGGCACTAACCCAGGCAATTCTTGGTGTAAATGAAGCACAACTCCCCCTGACAGGAGACATAGATGAGTGAATGCCCCCTGAAGTCCTGGGCTTGGCCCATAATTGCCTGTACCCAAATCCCATAAGCATACCCGACACCTTCCTATGAGATGGAGTAACCTGTGCTGCAAATGTCACATAAGAGTATGGCAATAAAAGACTATCTAAAGCAGATGAAGGCTGGATTTCATTTTTCAGTGTCTATTTATGAAGAGAACTAGATAGGCAGCAGGCCCTTCCCGGGATGTTGGGATTATTTTAATCCTGTAGGCTAATAAAGCAAATTGTTATAAACTGAGTGGTTTTAACGAACACTAGGCATTTATGTTTCAATGTTCTGGAGACTAGGAAGTTCACAATCAAGGTGCCTGTAGATTCAGGGTCTGTTAAGGATCATTCCTCATAGCTGGCCATCTCCTCACAGTACCTTTGGAGGCAGAAGTGTCTGTATCTATCTATCTATCTATCTATCTATCTATCTATCTATCTTTCTACCTATCTATCTCCCTCCCTACATATATATATGTGTGTGTGTGTGTGTGTGTGCATGCATATTATATAATAAAAGCCCATATTATTTTAATATCACTAATGAGGGCTTCCTTCTAAAGAGCCCACATCCCAAGACCAAATTCAACATGGGTTGTGGGGAGAAACATTCAGACCCTAGCTAGGTGTAACAGTATCACTGGCCTCCGCAGACCTCAAGGTTGGGCCCCTCACTTGCTCCTCTCCCAAGGTTCTCAGAGGGGCCCCAACACTATGTCACATGTTCACATGTGGGTTTGCACTATTTTTCTTTCCTCCCACTGATAGAAAGGTGTTGTCCCACGAAATCTAGAGTGTTCTCCACATGCTTTTGTGTCTGAACATACTCACATGGTCTAAGCTGGCGGGGAGGCTCACTCCTTCTTAAAGAGGTGTGCCATTGGTGTGTCCTGTGGTGATCAAATCTGAGGCAGTTTAACTAGATTTATCATCTTTGGAGTGACCTAAAACCTTACACAGGCAATGTTACTAATCAGTCCAGAGAGCGCCGAGTTAAATGGTCAGAAAGCTAAGCCTCCACTTTAGGGTCTGCCACAGAGCTGCAGACAGTGCGGTTCTCAAGAGTTCTCAGTGTGGCTCTGTCACATCCTGACTGATCCTAAAGTTTATTGTGTGTTGCTTGAGCTCTTGGTCCTACTGTGGTAGTTTAGAGGGTTGGGAGGGCATTGTCTGGTGTCCTGTGAGTGTTGTAGAGGCCACTCTTTGGACTGGCAGTGCTAGGGAAGGGCTTAGAGCCACAGGTACAGTTGCCTGGTTGTGTGGGGTTAGGGAGGAAAGGCTGTTCATGGATTAATACACCTGCTGCAGTAGGGACCACTGTTTTCAGACAGGATGTTAGAATCACTGGACTTCCCATCCCTCCTAGCAGTTTGAATCCTCAATTTCTTTCCCGGCCATGTTTACATCCTACTCTGTTCATGCCCAATACTAATAACCCTTAGGCAGGAAACAGATGTGCAACGGAATCTTCTGTTACATCCCAGCTAGCTCCCCTCAGACCCTTGTTGTCAGTTGCATCTACATGTTTCTGCCCTGCTCCCAGTGCCCTTTCTCACCAGACATGATTCTAACATGTTTCATAAGGTGCCGACCCCTCCTGTACTGGCTTTGGACTGTCCTTCAGAGGTACCTGCATGTCTTAGTTGGGCCTCCTGCAGTGGCTGATAAGTGGTCAGAAACTTGGGAGGACTGTTAGAGAAGTCTGTAGGTCTCCAAGAATGTTTGGCTTTCTCCAATGAGTCTGAACCCCTGGGCCAAGAATCAAGAGAGCCAACAGTGTGCTCTTTAAAGAAAAAACATCCTTTAACCTGTGGAAGTATCCAGTAAATTTCTTCTGCCCTTACTTAGTCAAATTTGGAGCCACTTTGAGGCTGAGTGTCCATACACATTATTCTCTGAAAACCATTCATCATGAGAAGTTAAAAAGCCCATGCCAGTGCCATCAGGACCTGTTCACCTAAGTGTCCCTGTAGTGTTACCTTGTTTGTACTCTAACAAAGCTTGCCTGAAGATCAGAGGGCAGAGCTGGCCACTAGCTTACCATAGAGGTCTGGAGGTCTGTGCAGACAGACAGGAAGTGATATGACTGGGAAGAGAGAGGAATATAGGCAGGAGCAGACAGGAGCTCAATCTCTTTTCAGCTGGGAAGTTAGTAAGGTAAGGTGCGGCTGTGGCCTGCTCCTTTGTCTCTCTGATCTTTCCACACTATCCCCTTTATCTGACTCTGAGCTATTATTAAGACCAGAATTCATGTAGAAATCATGCTGCATGTTTCCCCTGCACCATCCTGAGCCGGGACTTCCTTTGGTACCATACTCACATTTTAATCAGAATGACCTTTCCCCTATTTAACCTCAGTCCCCAGAAAACCATGTTTGGAACCCACTGTCAAAATGAAGCATGACAAACATTTATTAAGCATTCAGGAACTATGGCATAAATGACATGGTCATGTGCAGTGTACCCTTTTAATCACCCTAAGATAGATATCATATATATATATTTCTTTAAAGATCTCCATTTCCACAACAGGTTTTTGTTTGAATCCTGGGTGTCCTCCAAACATCTGTAGATGTCATCATCACAAGGTGTTCTGTTGTTTGTTTTTTTCACTTGCCTTCTGTCAACGAGACACAATCTTGATGTAGACTCCATTTTTGGGACTTAGGGCAGATTTGGATTCTAGCTGAAGTGGAACCTAAAACAGAGTAAGTTAAAATATTTGTCAGAACCTATCCTGAAGCATGGCTTGTGAAAATCTTGCTGCGGGCTGAGAGACAAGACCCTGGCTTCTGTAGGAAAAGCTGAGCACCCCAAACCCTAAGAGGCGTCATGACAGCTTTGTGTGCTACTGTACCGAGGGTGGTGCTAACAAGAAAACATGGAGTTAGGGGCTCACACTCACCTGACCACAAGTATTCATCATCTCCCTCACATGTGGGGTGAGATGGAGGCTGCAGGGGTTTTGTTTTTTTATCACACTCTTTGATCAAGAGATGGGACAATCCTTTGGAGGAGAGGGACCAGACCTGGCTCCCAAGCAGAGGTTGTGACCTACTCTGGGGCAGAGAAGCAGGGTGGCCCCCACCCTGGAATACCAGACCCTCACCTGAGTCTCAGAGCTGGCTTCAAAGCGGAATTTGTGTAGGACCTGGAGTAGTGTCAGTTTGACCACCATCAGCCCCAGCCGCACCCCGAGGCAGCTCCTGGGGCCAGCTCCGAAGGGCAGGTATGTGAAGGGCCCCCGCTGAAGCCGGGCCTCTGCTGTGAACCTATGGGTCAGGTGAAGGTTATGGTCAGCCTGAAACACCTGCTCCCTCTAAAGCAGTGGTTCTCAGCCTTCCTAACACTGAAACCCTTTAACAAAGTTCCTCGTGTTGTGGTAATCCCCAACCATAAAATCATTTCATTGCTATTTCAAAACTAATTTTGCTACTGTTGTGAATCGTAGTGTAAATGTGTGATAGGCAGGTTGAGAACCACTGATATAAAAGTCTCATTTCTGACTGAGAGGAATCCCTTCCCTCCATCAATCCAGGACTGTCTTCAAGGTCTTGGGTAGCTGGTGGCCTGTGATGGCCATGCTGTGGTCCCTCTCGGCACTGTCCTGCCCAATCCCAGAAGCTGCTCCATTCAGACAATCGGCCGAGTGCGCCCTCTCACCTCGTTTAGAAACTCATTATGATCCATATGTGTGTGAAGTCCAGAGATAATCCAGACTCCTAAGGCTTGACCAGCACGCCCTGACCCATCACGTCCCCCCTCCTTCCCCCTCCTCTCTCATTTCCTCCTCAGCAAAGTTCCCAGTCACTTTGGCCGAACCCCAGGGGCCCACCTGCTATCTCATTGAAGACTAGCTGCCACCTCCCCACCACCCTGCCTTTGCTGGTCAGAATGTGGGAAGCTTGAGTTCTTGGGAGCCTCCAGATTTGGGCTGAAGTTGGAATGGCTGCCTTGCTTTCAGATCTCATCCCCAGCTCTGTGAAGCTAGGTGACAGTCACCAATCTGCAGTGGCCTGCTTGCATCTTACCGCTTCCAGGCTTTCTTGTCATTCTGTGGAGCCCCACAGCTGCAGTTTCTGGTTACGAATCTTTACCAAGTTTGCAGGACCTGCTGTGCTGTGGGTTGTTAGTTACCTGAGTCTCATGTCAAACAACCCATGAGCACCAGGTTGTCGAGGTGGGCTGGGTTCAGATGGAGTCGGTAAGTGGAGAACCAAGGTGGCTCCTTCCTAGCCGCCTCTGGTGGGCCAGGAGGAGGAAAATGACTGACTGTGAAGGAGCAGGCTGTGAGGGCTCCCCCAGGTTTCTTATTACCATATAGCCTAGAAATGAAGCCCACAGCATACCAGATCCATGTCCAAAGAAGGAAGGGGATCCAGGCCTATCATATCTCAAGGAATTAGGTTTGAAGGGCAGTTATGCCGATAGGATTGCACTGGATGGAAGCAAAGTGTTTGCTGCTTTCTAACCCCGAAAGGCAGAGAGATGCCTCAGTGGCTAAGGTCATGTACCACTCTTGTAGAGGACTAGAGTTTGGTTCCCAGTATTTATGTTGGGCAGCTCACACCTGACACTCTTCTGGACTCTGTAGGTACCTACACTCAGTGTACACATACTTGCTCCTGAGCATCTGCCCACACTCTTACCCCCCCCCCCCCATAATTAGGAATGAAATCTAAAAAACAAACAAAAACCAACCCTGCCTCCTGTGTCGTGGCTTGGACAAACAAAAGATACTGATTCTTGTATGCATCATTGCTGTTGTGCTAGATCTTTGGATTCAGCTTTTCCTTTGGAAATGGTACCTGACAGTCTGAATTGCTGTGATCTTCATTTGAGGAAGACTTTGCCCATGACTCCTAGCTGTTATCTCTACAGTAAAATTTCTATCCCTACACTCACATCCCTCAGGGACCCCGTTTCGAGACAGAATTCACTCACCTTTCAGGGTCAAAGGTCTCAGGGTGTGGCCAGTGCTCTGGGTCATGGTGTAGGGCACCCACGGCTACCTCCAGCACTGCACCTGCGGGGATGTACTGTCCCAGCACCTCACAGTCTTGGGCTGCCTCCCGTGTGAATCTGTGGGAGACAGAGGCAGGAAAGCTTGCCAGTGTGCCAGTTGGCAGGGGCTTCAGGTGTTGTGGTACCCAAGGTGGAGTATGGAGTGAGGCTAGATACAAGGGAGCCAGAGAGAAACGAAGGTTGTGTTCCGTAACCCCTTTCAACCTCAAGGTCGTTGTGGTGTGCATGGCCCTTGGAGATAATGCCTCATCCATGGGGCGAGCACTGGGGAGTCCTCCATGTATCTGGGGATTTCAGAGGTGACTTCCAGTGGCTACATTCAGGCTAAGCTAAAGGTTGTTCCTCAGCTGTTGTCTCTCTCGTCTCCTCGCTCACATCAAGCCTCCTCTAATACCCTTCCTTTCCCTTTCCCTTCATCTCCTCTCATTTGGTAGTATGGCCATGTAGTCTGGCTTCTGTCCTTGTCTCCCCATTCCATGGATGATTGAAAACATTGGGTGGCCCATCCTGTGGACCTTTAACCTACATGTTAGCCCTTACATGCCATTGACTATTGATGGATCAGCCATTAATGGATAATCTTGGTTGTTAACTTGACTGCATCCGGAATTAACTAAAACTCAAGCAGCTGAGCCCACTGGTGAGGGACTTTTCTTGGTTGGATTATTTGAGATGGAGACCCACCCTGAATCTGGGCCACACCTCCTGGTGGCTGTCCACATAAAAGGACTCGGAAGAAGAAAGCTTTTGCTTTTTGCCTGCTTGTCCCCAGTCGCATGAATGAGGTCATCTATCCTGTTGATGAACCATTCCTTCACTGGTGTTAAAACCTGCTTCTTCAGGATCCAATGCAGATTGAAAACCTTAACTCCTGGGACCTCCCTGGGACCCCAGAACCAGACTGGGACTGCTGAGATGTCCCTTCTCATGGAGTGAACAACTCCCAGATTCAGCCTTTCTCTCAGGAGACAGCCATTGTTGGACCACTCAGACCACAGCCGTAAGCTAAGCTAATAAATGCCATATGTGTATATTTTCATTCTGTCAGCTGTTCTGTTAGAGAACCCTGAATGATACAACTGTATCTCATGACATAGAGCTGTGCCTAGGAGGAGAGGGCAGATCAGAAACCAGGAAGCCAGGGGCACTTTGGGAGGCACAGGCAGAGCTAGCTGGGGACTAAGATCATGAGTAGGTGAGTGGGAACTGTTCCTACAGTGTGAGGTGTGTGTCCACTCAGGCTGCATGGTGTGTGGAGCCAGGACTGTGAGACTAGAGCCCAGTCTTCTGAGCCGCCTTTGCTAGCTTTCCACATGAGCCTGTCTGATGATTCGTGGTTCTGGAGTTGTATGTCTTGTCTTACCATAGCTTCTCACAGCAACCATTGCTAAACGAACTCCGTTTCTTAAAACTTGCAAGCCCAACTCTTGAGTTTTGCCTGATGGCCGTGGGTCAGGCAGCTAATGTAACAGCTGGCCCTATAATTCTACAGCCGTATGATTCCACCCTTGGGACTGAGCATGAAGACTGCCTGGGTCAATGCAGCGTCTTGCCTCTTCAAGTTCCTGTCCAGTAAGGTAGGACACAGAAATAAAGCCATTGCTTGTGTGTTAGTCATGGTTCTCTAGAGTCACAGAACTTAGAGAATGAATCTCTCTCTCTCTCTGGGTATTTATCGAAATGAGTAGGTGAGCGGAAGCCATTCCTACAGTGTGAGGTGTGTGCCTACTCAGGCTGCATGGTGTGTGGAGCCAGGATGCAGTCCAACAATGGCTAGCTGTGAATGGAAAGTCCAAGAACCCAGTAGTGTTCAGTCCCACGAGGCTGGGTGTGTCTTCTGTCTATGCAAGAACCCTGAAGAAGTAGGCTGCAGTGCCAGTGAAGGGAAGGATGCGCTGACAAGGCCAGGGCGAGCAGGCAAAGGGTGAATGAACAAGCCTTCTTTCTCCCATTGTCCTTATACTGGCTTCCAGCAGAAGGTGTGGCCCAGATGAAAAGATCTGGATTAAGGGAGCGTGTGTCATCCTGCTTCAAGATCCAGGTCAAAAGCCTGTGTCTTCCAGCCTCAAAATGTGGATCACCATGTACCCTCCATCTCTGGATTGTAAGTTCATTCTAGATATAGTCAAGTTGACAACACCCCTTGCCAACTTGGCACACACTCATATCTCCTTATGTCACGATTAGTTTCCAAATGAAATACAATAACCAAGTCATAATAATGCCTAAACGTAATATCCCATGTACATTCCTAAGTGCATTTTACATATATTTAACCAGGTCATAATTATGCCTAACATGATAAAACTATCCCTTGTACAACCACAAACACATTTATAAATTTAGAATAGTGGCAATGTCCCTTGGGGGACATCCTTCTAGTATCTCAAACTTATATATGGTAACCATTGATGTCAGGAGCGCTTCTGTTGTATTTTGTGAAGAATGTGTTTGTACAGATGTTTGTGTTTTCTTTCCATTTCTTTATCATATGTTGTAACATCAATTAAAACAGAAGCACTCATGTCAGTTATAAGCCTCATTTCTGCAACTGGTCATGTGGCCTTAGATGGTATTCATGACTACCTTCCTCCACTACCCATTCTCTATTTCCTCCACCCTCTGTAAGCACCTCAGTGGGTCTTGGATCTTTCTGGAAGAGTGACCCATACCTTCATTCCTCAAGAGTCTATGCCCTTTGTCATCCCGCCTGGATCTGGCTGTTGTATTTTCCCATTAACTTTAGTCACAGGGCTCAGTAGCTCCAAGAGACACACTAAAGGATCTCCTGCACTCCAGATGTAACCCTTCTCACCTCCATTGTGGAGAGGCAATCCAGTCTCCCCCTGGTAATCTGGGTGTATCACCCCTCCTAACACTGGTATTCCTTTCCTAGCCTGCTGGTTTAAAGGCACTATGTTGGTGGATCGGGCATTCTGCAAGTCCATGGGTGGTGGTTTTGGCAGAAGCATTACATGCAAGAAAGGCAAATCCATGACCAGAATAAGTATCTACTCCAGTAAGGACGAAGAGTTGTCCTTTCCATGGTGGAAGTAGTCCAGTGTAGTCAACCTGCCACCAGGTTGCTGGCTGACCACTCCGAGGAATGGTGCCATACCTGTGGTTCAGTGTTGGTCTCTGCTGTTGGAAGATCTGGTATTCAGCAGCAGCTGTAGCCAGATCAGCCCTGGTGAGTGGAAGTCCAGGTTATGAGCCCACAATAACCACCATCTCTGCCACCATGGCTACTTTCTTTCATGGGCCCATTAAGCAATGACAGGAATGGCTGAGTGTCCACAGGAATGGGCCATCTTATCTACTTGGTTATTGAACTCCTCAGCTAAAGTCACCTTTTGGTGACCATTTACATGGGACACAAGTACCCTCACTTCCTTCACCCGTTTAGAGAGATCTATCCACATACTTCTTCCCCTGATGTCTTTCTTACCAGTTTTCCAATCGTGCTCTTTCCAAGTTCCTGATCATCCAGCTAGTCCATTGGCGACAGCCCATGAATCAGTGAACAATCACATCTGGCCATTTCTCCTTCCAAACAAATTATAATACCATGTGCACTGCCCACAGTTCTGCCCACATTGAAGAATTCCCTTAGCCAGTATCTTTCAAGGTTGTCTCAGAAAGGGGTTATAATGCTGCAGCTTCCCCTTTTGGGTATTGCTGGCATAACATACAGAACCATCAGGAAACCAGGCCCTAGACCTCTCTTCACACTCCATGAGGCTATAGGTGCGCGCTTGGCAGCAGAAGGTATTGTAACAGAAACCATGGTAGGCATTTAGGTGACTTCTTTATGTAACTTGCTCATGCCTTTAGGACCTGCTTGGGCCTGGTCTCACATACACCACTTCCATTTGATGATAGATTGCTGCTGTGCACGTCCTACTTTATGACTTGGTGGGTCCGATAATACCCAGTTCATGATAGACAATTCATGTTTTATGGCAACTTGGTGGCCTATTGTCAAACATTCAGTTTCCACTAAAGTCTAATAGCAGACCAAGAACTGTCTTATCCCAGCAGCTGGAAGCTAGGAGGTGGTGATACATACCTTTAATCCTAGGATTCAGGATTAAAAGGTAGAAGGATCTATGTGAGTCCAAGGTCATCCAGATCTACACAAGATTGATCCAGTCCTAAAGAAAAGCAGCTCACACAAAGATGATCTCAGCACCTGGGATCACATGGCTTTAACCCCAGCACTGGAAGGCTCCTATAAAAGATAGGAGCAGGGTCTTCAGTAGTCAGGATCAGGCATTCATTCTCCAGCCACACTGAGGATAGGAGAATTCATTGTTAACCACATTGAGGATAGGAAGACATTGAAGTCTCAGGATTCTCCAGCCATGCTGAGGAAAGGCTTCAGTTTGAGGTTTGGTGGAGCCAGGACTACCTTTCATTCTGAGGTAGAGTAAGAGCTAGTGACCAGCTACTTTGTTTTTCTGATCTTCAGCTTGAAGCTTTAATAAATCGTAAAGAATATATCACCACAGGGGCCTGCTAAAGGCTCCCAATAGCATCTCTCTCTGCCACTGCATCAAGTAGCAGAGTCTGTTGGATCATATGGCCCAAGCTATAGAAGCCGCCTGCACAGCAGCCTGGACCTGTTGTTGAGCTGTTCCAGGCCCCACTGGTATATGGGGCAGAGGAGCACACCCAGGTGAGGCACGCGCCATCTCCAGAATCCAAATAGATTCACTAAATGTTGTGCTTCTTTCTTGGTGGTGGTAGGGTCCAGTTCAATAACTTATCCTTCACCTTAGAAAAGATATCTCTGCATGTCCCAAACCACTGGAGTCCTAAGAATTTCACTGAGGTAGAAGGTCCTTGAATTTTGGTTGCATTTATTTCCCCTCCTCTGCTAGGCATATGTGTTACCAATGAGTTCAGAACGTTTGCTACCTCCTGTTCACTTGGTCCAATTAGCATGATGTCATCAGTATAGTGCTACAGCATTGATGTTTTACGGGAGAGACAGATGATCAAGATTCCTTATGGCAGGAGAGTTAATGTATCCTGGAGGCAAACAGTAAAGGTAT